AGAGTTAACATTCACTGTCTTGTGCTGCCTTTTTCTTACATGAGTAGCAGGTATTAAGCAGAGACTGAGTGCGAATATTTAACTTCCTTCTTTAGATGCAAAGTTTTCACTCATAATTTCCTTTGCTGCTAATCCTTGTGCTATACTACTTGATACATGTGGTTTCTTGCACTAAATTACTCAGTTGACTCATATTCTTAAGAACCCAAGAGATGGCAGGGATGGTTTCAGATTCACTTTCTAATTCTAGAACTTTGAGCCGATTATTTATTCTTGAATGGCCTCAGTTTTCTCATAAATAAAATGGGCATAATAATGGTCTTTCCTCAGAGAATTATTTTGAGGATAAGGAAGCTGTTTGCAGAGGACCTGGCATAGTTCCTAGTACACAGAATGGCTCAGGAATAACTTAGAAACTTCCCCAAGACCTGCACAGCTCCAGGTACAGGCAGAATGTGCTCTTGGGCTTCCCACTCCTTCTTGGTCCTGCCACCCTTTTGTGATATCTCCAATTCCCTCATACTTCCTTCCTTTCAAAACCTCTTTTCTCTCAAAAGCTCAATACCCCAGTCATACTACAGTGTAATGGGTGGAGAATAGTTGAAAATATTATTCCTGTTTGAGGAAAGTGCAGACTTCAACAGGAATCAAAGCCTTGGCTAAAGGAAGAGCACTCCCAGGAAAAGCCAACGGGCAGTGGGGAGCTTGTGGAAGGTGCAGGGGAGACTCCCAAGTCTCTGACACTGCCATTTGCCATCCTTGGGGCTCACTGTTGGATCTGCCCCAGGATGCAGAGAAAAAGCCTACGAGCCCTGGGCTGTACATCTCCCAGAGGGCTGCCAAAGGTCACGCTTACGTTTCACTCCTGCTCCTCTCAGATCACTGAGCAAACAGGAAGAAAGAATGGGCACTCTCACACAGCCAGGAAAGGCCCGTGATAAATCCTAGGACCTGTTCCATTGGCTGACCAGTTCTGATCAGACCATGCACAAGGAGACCTCAAACTCAATTCGGGGATCCACTGTAAGAGGGATGCTGGAAAACTGCAATGTATATACAAGAGAGCAAGAAGAATAACAATGATGCATTTAAAACTGGAGAGAATGGTTAAGCCTGAGAAGACAAGAACAACAGTGGTGCTATCTTCACACACTTGGCACTTGGCATTCTTACCCAGGAGAGGATGTCCTCCTTCTCCACCCAGGGTGCAGAGACGATCCTGGGTCCTAAGGAAGAACTAGGGTTGATGACTGGAAATTCAAGGGATATTGACTTTTGGCTGAATAATAAAGTTAACCTTTTATTGATGGACTGTGTTATGAGACTGTGCCCTCCTTATCACCGAAGTGAAGGGGTACAGGCTGGATGACCCCAGGGATAGGACAACAGAAACAACCTTCAAACATTTCATTGGCTTTGGACTAGCTTTTAAGCTTCTAGAAAACTTTTTGTTTGTAGATAATTTAAAATTTTTCATTTTATAATCTATATAACATTTGTAAAATAAATATATGAGTTGCAAAACTAAAAATAATACCCCAAACAACAGTATAGCCTTCATCCACATTCATTAGTTGTCACCATTTTACCAATTTAGTATTTGCATTTCCTTATTCTCTCAGGTTAGATGATTTTTAAAGTCCCTTGCCTTACTGAGATTAAGATTCTACATGCTGAGGCTTCTTTCTAGGTACAGGTTGAACATCCCTAATCTGAAAATCTGAAATCCAAACGGCTCAAAATCTAAAAGGCTCAAAAATCTGAAGCATTTTTGGTCCCAGGCATTTTGTATAAAGGATACCCACCTTGTGATAGGATTTCAGAAAGCAGGAGTATTGTTGGCAGTGCTGTTTGCTGCACCTAGCAGAAAATCTGAACTCTCTGGAGAGCCAAGCCTGGGTCATCTCCCTGACCTCTCCTGGATCACCATGCAGCAGTTACACTGGTTTTCTTTACTTCCTCATATTGCTAAGTTCAGTCCAGGCCTAAGGACTTTGCACTTGCTAGTTCCTTTACCTTCAGTCTTCTTCTCTGATGTTCACACGGCTGGGGGTTCTAACATTCCTTGACCTCCTACGCCAGTGACAGCGAACCTTTTAAAGTTTTCAATTGGGTGTGGCATGCATGCCATAGGTTGGGCACCCCTTGAAGTCCTCCCCTCCTCATTCCCATAAGATATTCTGTCATGTTATTCATGTTGCTACATACGATTCTGTGTAACGATCTTCCTTACTTACTAGCTGGCTTGCCTTTTGACTGTCCCCCCACTCAAATATGAGATCCATGAACACAGGGATGTTTTTGTTCTGTGCTGCATCCTTAGAGCTTGGGTCAGAGAACATTCAACAGATACACATTGAATGGATAAATCAGAGAACAAATAAGAATGACTGATTAAAGACTTGTTAATACCAAGATAGATTTTCAGATATGACAAACTACCTCAAGTAAAAAATGGTTAATGTATTCTAGAAAAGTAAAGACACGTGTGAGGTAGAAGGGACAGATGTTTGGAGGACATTTTCCTGTAAGGTACCCTGTCCTAAAGATGATGCAGCTTTTTCTCAGAAGCGAAAGTGGTTTCTGCTGCCATCTATTTGAAAAGATAGAAATTTGCTAGCGCCCTTGAGACAAACTCTCCCTAGATGGTTGATACAATAAAGACAGGCTGGATAGGATGAATCTTAAGGCCCATGGAAATGATTGAAAATATTTCCATTCTTAGAAACTGGTTCTGAAAATTTTATTTTGTTTTTCTTCCAAATATTACCACAAGATTTCTTCCAAAGTCCACAGATAAAGAGATGCTGTGTACAGGTGAATTTTTTCCATATGTTCCTTCTTCTAGAATCACTTTCAATCTATTAGAATATAGTTTTCTGGCCTCTAAATGGGACATCAAATTGGAGGAATGTATGTGATTCTATTAAGAGGCTGGAATAAGCCAGCCTCAGGAAGAATGACTGCTGAAAGTTTCTGTTTATTCGCTTAAGAGTAGTTCCTTAACAGAAAAAAGAAACGAACCCTTAATGGGGGAAAATGTTGCCTTAAAAACTTTTAACAGGACAACATACTAAAGTTAAAACTACTGCTGCTGTGAGGTACTATATGTAATAGATAAGAACAAAATCTAAGGAAGATTTCCTGGTTCTGAATGCCAACTCTGCAATTTAACTGCTGTGTGACTCTGGGTAAGATATTTAATTGATCTGTTTCTCAGCTTACCTATCTATAACATAATAATTCTAATAGTACTTAACTGACAAGGATGACAGGTAAGTAAAGTTCATACAGTACTACCTGGTACATTAATAGTACCTACATTATCACTAGTGAAATGTAGTTGGTATTATTTTTTCCCTCTTATTCCCCACCTCCAGTTAAAGCAGAAGGAAAATTTTATATCTGCAAAGTGCCTTCAGATATATCACCTAGTTTTGATTCTAACAATAGCTGGTTTCACTGGTAAAAGTTTTTTTTTGTAAATTTTGAGACAGGGTGTCACATAGTTGCCCAGGGTTGGCCTTGAACTCCTGAGCTTCAGGGAATTAGCCCTCACATCCAGCTTAGAAGAAGCTTCTTTATTTCATAGATAATTAGCCACAGGCTCAAGGATCATATAGCTGATAAACAGGTGAATTCTTCCAAAATCAGTCTTTGGACTCCTTGACCTCTTCTCTCCTTCTACCAGCCTCATCTGGATCACCACGCAGCAGTTACACTGGTTTTCTTTACTTTCTCATATTGCTAATGCTTTGGACTCAGACCAGTAGTCACTCTATTGCATTTTGTGGCCTGTGTCACCAACCACAGTCACTGGTTGAAACAATTGAGACTTACACCCAAAACCCTCTGTTAAACCCTATAGAAACTAGAGTGTTTTGAAATAAAAAGAAAAAACTAAGGGAAAGTGAAAACTGTTATTTAAACTTAAAAATGTCTTTTGTGCAAAATATTGATGGATTACTTTCACACATACGTGCGTGCATACACACACACACACACACGGAGATAAATTGAGAAAGACTATTATTCTTGTCTCATCTAAGCATAATGTCAAAAGAAAACAAGCAGTCCACAAGAAAGGTAAATTAACTTTATAAAAGCCCTTTCAGCTGGAAAGACCTAGAATTCTAATAGCTGTATAGGTAAGGTACTTCTATTTATTTTTAAACATGGTACACATAATTAGAGGATTATGTTAAGCCTACCAACAACCATGGTTCTCAGGACTTTCATCACTATCAAAGGAGTTCTAGTTTCAGCAAGGTTAATGATGATTGATTAATTACTTGGAAAAAATAAGCATCATTTCATAGTTTAAAACCATGATATCATTCCCATCCATATCCTTTTTTAATTTTCATTTTTGCCCATCCCAGAAAAGCAGAAATGCTTAATTTGATTTACAGAAGGAAAAACAACCCTAAATGTACTTTTTGTAGGGGCAGGGGAGTGCAAGGAGGAAAGGTCAAGCAGCAGCTGGTTTTCATCTATGTGCCATAATTCTGTTTAGTTTATACTATTAAACTCCAAAGCTCTGCTTTAATCTTAACTGCTACATTATGCCTTGCTGCAGATTCTATCATGTCGCATCCCTGGATAGGGTTTCAGACTTTGGCAAAAAAGCATTTTCCCTCTAGCTGGCCTGCCATATGGGTAGGAAATGCATCCAACATTTCTGCACTGGTGCCTGCATCATTATATTTTTGTCACCAATGGTTTCTTGGGTTTTCAGTAAACTGCTGCATATACTGTGGTTTGGAGATGCTGAGATGATCGCCTATGTGTACTAGTATGCAGATGGGTCCTTATTAGAGCTTCTGTCCTGCATCCTCTTGTGGATGACCAAACATATGTTTGCTGAAGGTGTAGGGAGGGGATGTGAGTGGAAAAACTATAAGGGGCAAAGAAAACAGAAGGCAGGAGCAAACCACTGCTTTCCCAGAGCCCTCAACATTAAGTCATGATAAGGAGGAAAAGTGAGGAGCAAAGCTTACCTGATCTGTCTTCATTTTGAGAGTCACATCTTCGGCACAGTTCTGGGATGGTCTTGAGTGATGTGACTGAATACTGAATGAAAAGTCAGAGGACAAAGGGAGTAAGATAGCAATGTAATATGAAAGCATTCTTGCAAACTGGCTAGAAAACAATAAACACAAGAAGCGATACTTGAGCACAACATGCATATTCAGGAAGTCTATCTCACCGTGCCCCAAACGGCTGCCTGGTGATCTGGCAGCATCCTAAGTTCTACCTAAAAGCATTTAAGCAGATGCAGACTGAAAAGAGGGCTGGCAGCCCTCCTCTAGCTACCAAGGTAGGATGTACCCAGCAGATATTCTCATCACTTGTGCTACTTGAGGAAGATGTAGGTATCATCTGACCTTGAGAGTTTCCGGAAGATGGCCATATGCTTGTCCTGAGTCAGAGAGAAAAGCCAAGTGCAGGAGCACCCAACTTCCTGCAACTTCCAGGACAGACAGGCAGGAGACAGCCTGTGCTGATGCTGCCTGGGCCATGTAAAAGTCCCTAAATGTTGCCACTTGTCATAGATTTGCCTGCAGCATATGTGTCTCCATGGGAAATACCAGGGTAATGTCATGAAAAGGGAGAGGAGCATGGCTCTATGTTTGAAAGCTCATCTGTTTCTTGTACAGATCAGTCTCAATTGAAAGGAAACACCTTTCAAGCTGGATCCCAGCACTAGCTCAGGGGTGAGCTCTCAGGATAACAAATTATGACATAAGGAGGCATAAAATAGGAAAAGTGGAAAACAAATGTAAAATCAATAGGTATGATTTATGGAGACTACTTTTGATGCCAATCAATCTTTCCTTAAGAGAAGGTGGTTTTCAAACAAAATAAATAGGATGAACTCTTTAATCAAAGGCTAAGCTAGGACTGTCTTCCATCACACTTATACTTTAATTCATAAAACTGGGCTTGCTAAAAATATTTTGCTCTGTACTTCTGAGACCAATGTTCTTATGTAAATGAGCATTTACCATGAACTCCCTCTCACTGCAAAATTTTGAGGGAGACTGAGAAAAAACATTGAATCTAAAAGAAAAATGATCGTGAGAAACTCTTTAGGATTATTCTAGCCTTACAAGCGATGAATGTGTAATTGGGCACATTTTTCAATACCAAGGTACTTCAGTTGGTGCGATGTTAACAGATGAAGTGAGGTATCTATATGGAGACCTCTGGAGCTTTCCACAGAATATCAGCACAGCAAGACAGAGGGAAGGGGAGCTGCAGCTATTGTTAGTAACTATTGTCAAACAAATTAAATTCCAGGGTTTCTAAGTGAAAAATGAAATCTCAAATGACTAATTAGAGAAATTACTCTTACCTGTCTGATGCAATAACATCTTGTTTATGTTGGCTGTTCCTCTGAGACTACAGGTGCTTTAGAAAATTCACTGTATGTACAGAGGGAGGGAGACTGCCTCTTAAAGCAAAACTAAAGTTGTTTTTCCCTATTATATTATGTTACTGGGGCAGGGTGAGTTGGGGTAATTTTCTTGGTACTACTGGTCATAAGGTACCTTACATTTCTGGACAAGTACAAGCTCTCTAAGGAATCTAGGAGATTCTTGAGAGCAGATGGTAGAGGTTAAACAATTACACAGTCTATAATTCAATTAAAACTGGGACTATTGTGTTGGTTGCCATATACCTCACCTTCTTTGTTTTTGTTTTTCTTCCAAGGAAAAATTTTAGAAAGAGTAAATCCAAGAT